TCCTGCTGAGAGTGGGACCTGTGATATAAATGGGACCTCTCGTGGCCTAAGGTTCAATGCAGTGTTGCAGTATGTGCCACTTAACACTTGCATCTTCACAGCGTGCTATTGCCATGACAACTCAGATTATCTATGGCACCCCTGAAATACCTTTATTTGTGTGGCTGATGAAAATAACTGATTTCCGTGTTACTTTTCATGCTTTATATGGGATGAGGCTGTGAAATGTTCTCAGTAATTCATTTTGCCAACTGTGTGGCATTTGTGTCACTTTAGGAACATGGTTTAGTGGTGGACTTGGCAGTGTTAGATTTACAATTGGACTCGATGCTCTTAAAGGTCTTTTCCAACCTAAAAAATTCTGTGATTCTGTGTTGGAGAAGTGAATTAGCCATGGTTTGGTTGTAAACTCTGGTTAACTGTATTGCTGTCCTCTTTGCTCCTTCTCCTCTCCCCTTGTGGTGCAGGAAGTCATATGAGTTTGAAGACTTGCTGCAGTCCTCGTCTGAGAACGGCCGGGTGGACTGGTACGCACAGACCAAGCTGGCCCTCACACGCACGTTATCTGAGGAGAACGTCTACGAAGACATCCTGGGTAGGAGCTTTGGACAGAACATACTGGGTAGGAGCTGTGGACAGGGAAGGGACTTGACAGCCAATGCTAACTAAGGCTCACAGTCAACAAGCACTCACCAGAAGTGCTGATTAAAGTATGTTTGTTATCCAGACACAAACCAAGACACATTTTACATTTGTATTTAGATTATTGGCAAGTTAGAATTAATATGGACAGGATGTTTCAAAACTCATCAGCTTCAAAGATGTACCTGAGACATGTGGGAACCAGTTTTTACTTTTTCCTGGCATCTCTCCTCTGTCTTCCTTTTGTCCTGTGGACTACTTCTCACAGCTCTGATCTGTCCATTTTGGTGAGCTTGTCACTGCTGAGATAATGCAAACAGTCTGAAAACATAGCCTTGAAGTGAGCTCCTCAGTTCAGAAAGAGGATTGTGTATGGCTCCAGGTACCCCTGAAATTAAAAAAATAGGTCTAGCAATCTTTGGAAACGAGTTTTATTTCATTCTCTAACTTTGATGGCAGATCAATGCCATTTTAAAGATTGTTTCCTGTAACACACTATTTATATAGTGTTTTTTTAATATTGTGAGTTAGGTGGCCATTTATGGAACATAGAATAGAAGCATCTCTCCTGAAGAAGCCCTAAGTTTCAGTGACTGTAGGCTGGTGATGCATAAAGCTCTTGGCTGAGTTCAGTAGAGCAGGAAGAGAATAACTGCATCAGCTCTCGCCATGCAGCTGTAGTCCTACAAAGGTGGTTTGTGTTGTTTGGCATGAGAGGAGCTGTGCTTTCTCTGGAGGAGTCCAGGCATCATTAGTTTGCTGCAAATAAGATCACATCATACTTGATGAGAAAGATCTCTCAAAGGAATTGTGTTCCTTTGAGGCTGATGCCAGACAAGGTGATGCCAGTCTTTCCTTTTTGGCGTTTTTGAAGCTGTCAGCCTCATTTACGGAGCTAGAGGCTTCATGTTTGCTTTTTTTCTTCTCTTTACTTGGGAGGCCAAAGGAACAGGGAGTGCCTGAGCAGCTGCTAGGGTGTTTTTGTGTTGGGGCATGGTGGGAGGTCTCAGAAACCACTGAGTAAGGGTCACCTTCTCAGCTGGAATAACATAGATAGCATTACAGAGTGACTCTGCAGGCAAATCCATGCATTCAAACACAAGCATACCCCTATGTCCCAAGCTTGCAGTCAACTCAGATACCAGGCTGAAATTCCTCTCTCTTCCAGCTTTTAGTTGTACAGATCAGAAGAAAACAAATGTATGGGTAATTGTTAAATAATGGGGCATGGGATTTTGTTCTCTTGCTGCATGTTTAAGCTTTGCCTGGAGTCAGTGATCTTTAATTGGTTCCAGCAGTCCTGGTGGTGTTACCACGGAAGCTGAAGGACAAGGAGTGGACAGGGATAACTCAAAAAAAGCTGCTGTTTTGTTTTTCGCAAGACCGCAGGCAGGTATAGTCCACAAAACAAACAACATATGAAAACCACACCAATGGAGGGGGATGTAAGACTTCAACCACAGGACACTAGTGCTGACCCACAGATGATCGTTTGTGTCCATCAGGGCATGCAAGCACACACATACACCCCATATTCCTATGTATGACTCAGGAGGGGATTCAGCTGTAGGTGGGAGAACCATTCTCTTACACAGATTCCCTTCGTGCACCATCTTTTTACCTGTTTGTCGTTGCCTACCTGGAACACTGGAAATTGTGCTGGGCAGATGGACGACAAGATCTGTTTGTCAAAAAGAGAGACACAGTCATCTTCCTTCTACACTGGGGCTAATTGGACATCCTGCTGAGCAGTTTGAGGATGGAGTGGGCAACAGAACCCAAGCCTGTTCTTTTTACTTCAGTCTACCCAGTTTGGGGACAGCTGAAGTGTGTTTTCAGTACTGAGGTGGGCCACTGGCATTAGAAAGTGAAGACACTTTCAAGAACAGGAGCACATTTGCTGACAAAACATTCATGCAGACCTGCTTTGCAGTGTCACACGTGCTTACCTTCTCCTCCTTGGTGAATTCAGATCCACCTGAATGTTACTTTAGAGGTGTCCCTTTGCCCCCCACCCCCTCGAGTGAGAGAGCATCCTGACTTTGAATGGCCTAGGTTAGGTGAGGTGGATCCTTCCCTCTTTCTAAAGTGGGGCATATGAGACTGAGGCATCCATGACTGGTAGATGCATGTTGTGTGACAGACATCCATGTTCAGAGAAGGAATCGAATCTTTCTGCAGGGTCAGCCCAAGAGCAGTGCATCACTTCAGCCCCTGATTAAATTATGACCAGAGGTCCCTCTAAACATAGGGTTTAAATGGAGGAGAGAGGACCGTTATGCTAGCGTGCAGCTCACGGTTTCATTTGAAGATAATTCTAAGCAGAAGACTGGAAATAAGGAAATACAATTTTGGACTGCTGTGTATGAGAACTTCAGGGCTCCTCTGAAGACAAGGAAATGAGCTTGAGGACTCGCTGTGTCTTTTCCATCTGTAGTATCTGTGATATGTTCCTATGGCAGCATGTGTCAGTGTCAGGGTTTGGACACTTTCCAGCGAGCAGCTGCACTTCTAGGGCTATGGAGAGAATGAAGCAATTGCAAGAATGCTTGAGAACAGGTCTTTATGTCTGACGTGGGAGGTGGGAGAAGGCCAGCAGATCCCCAAACAGATTTTTATGGCAAACCTCAAGGATTTTCTGCACTTAAAATCTCTTGCTTGTGGCTTTTTACTGCAGATCCACCATTGAAGGAAAACCCTTATGAAGACATTGAGACCAACAGCCGCTGTTTGGGGAAGAAATGTGTCTTGACCTTCCCAGCATCCCCCACCTCTTCTGTACCTGGGACTCCCACTAAGGTACTTTTATTTGAGTGGCCACCTTTCCTGCTCCAGAAAGTTTTTGGGTGAAATCCAGGTTCTGTGTGGAAAAAAATGGAATTTTTCCAGTTTAACTTACATCATGTGGGAGGTTCTTTTTCCTTTTTTGTCTTTTACCGCTGGTCAGAACACAGTGTGATAAGAGGCTATTTACTGCCCTTTAGCAAAGCAGAAAACCAACCAGTCCCTTATACAAAAGATTTATTTGCTTTCACTGTTTTTCACACTAAGGCTACCTTCCCCTGGTAAGGGGGAAGAACTTTTGCTACTGTAGTGCAAGAAAACTCTTCCTGCCCTCAAAGAGATCATTTAATTGCTTGGGTAGTCAAGCCCTGCAGTGATGTTGGCTTGGTGTGAGCGGGCAGTACACAGTCTGCCTGCACTGGTGCCAAGATGCCTCTGCAGCCCCCTCCTTAGGATACCTCTTTCCTTCTCTCCTTGATGAAGCTGGTTGCTGGTAACTAATGCCACTCCAGTCCCCTGCTTAGGGGACCAATAGTAAGAGGGTGTCCCCACCAGCAGCACAGCTCACAGCCTCGTGCCATTTTCCTCCTTGGCAGCAAAACAGAAAGAAGAGGTAAAACATTGGTCTGCACCTTGCTTGGAGCTCAGGGCTTACCAAGGTCAGGCCTGCTTTCAGCCTCCCAGGCTGTTTTGGTTGCTTCCTATTCTGTGTTCATATAGTCCAAGTCTGGAACTACAGGGGAAGTGTGACAGCAGAAGTCATCCTGCCAACAGCTGGGTTCAGAGTGGATAGCAGGGATCTAAACATCCTGACTGAAGGGTTTTGCCATGCTCTCCAAGCTGCAGCTATTAGAGCTGTCAGCTGATGTTTTCAGAAGTTTGACATGCAGCATTTCTTGATTTGTTGTTCTTTTCCAACCAGCTTAATCAGTAACTGAGGTTTCTTTGGATAATTCAACACTCTAAAAATGAAAGTAGTTCTGTAGTGCTCAATCCATTCTCCTTGTTGCTAGTTAGGTCTAGAGCAACTAGGTTCTATATATGAGTGTTGTCATGTAGTTGATTTCCTTCAGAGAGCTTTGCAGTCACCTCTGCACCCTGATCTCCTACCTGGGCTCTCACAAGGGGGCTGCAGTAATACACAGGGATGCCTTTCACTGGAGATGCGGCTCCCAGCAGGAGACCCTAAGTAAAGAGCTGTATAGAACTAATTATGTTCCACTACAGTGCTTTGACATCTAAAAGCTGTGATCTGCATCAGTCATGAACTGCTGCAGCTCTCTTGGCAACTAATGGGTTTGCAACACCGGAGAGCCTGCCAGGCTAGAGGCCAGTGGGGTATCACTAGTGCAGGATGAGATTCTTCAGTGTGAAAGCTCTTCCCAGACTCATTTGTATGTGTGTCTTCTCTGTGGGTGGTAGCATTTCTGTGAGTTGAGCGTCTTTTGCCAGACCATCCAGAGACACCTGAGCTAACCTGAACGGCTGCACTGGTCTGGCTAGTACCTGCTGAGTGTGTCTGTTGATGGAAGCAGACCGTGATGCTGCCTCAGCTACGGTGCTTTGGTGGCTTGTTCAGGATTCGCGTGGCTACCTCTGCGCCGCACCACGTAGTGCCACGTCGATGCATCCTCTGGCAGTACAGATACAGTGCCCACAGAATGTGTGACTTAACCTTGTCCTAACTGCTGGGAAGGTCTGTAGGAGACAAAAAGAGTTCTTATTGAGTGTCTTTCTGGTGAGAAGTGAAAAGTGGTTTGCCTTTCTTTATCTGAGAGCTGACCTTTCTTCTTCTCTGACTCTTTTTTGGTCAGGGACCTTAAGAACTTTGCCCTGGTATCTACCGTTGTGCTCCCACTGAATTTGCTAACGAGCTTAGGAGGAAACTGGCTGCCGCAGCTTTCTGTCATGGCACTTCTTGTACCCTCCTTTCAAATATTTAATTCTGGCTACTACCAAAGACAACCATGCTGACAGTGCTGTTTTGTCTGGTGTCACTGCTGCTCTGTTCCTCCTCAATAGCTGCTCCTTATCCCAAATGCTTGTGGTTGGCTGGATGGTTAGTCTTGTCCTGTTTACAGTCCCAGCCTCTGAATTACACAAGTCCTGGGAGATTTTTTTTCACACTGTAGCAAGGCCTCTTGGCCAACCCCTGAGATTGCATTCTGGTCTGGAATGAATATAGGGTGGTTTGCTGGTAAAGATAGTTCTGGTCTAGCCCGGCAGCTGGGCGAGTGCCTCATGTGTGCAGAAATCGGCACGTTTTCAGAAGTTGGGTGGTTTTGTCAGCTGAGTGCTGTGGCTGCCCCACTGGATTTACCCCCATGGCAGTGTTAGTAAGGAAGCAGAGATGTGTAAGGTGCTGTTTTCATTCATTTCTTCTCCATTTCCAGTTGCTTTCCAAGCCCATTTTTTTCCGACAAAACTCGGAGCGGCGGAGTTTCAAACTGCCAGACATACGGAAACTGAGCCGTGATGGGACAGGGTCACCATCCAAAATCAGCCCTCCCTCAACCCCCAGCAGTCCAGATGACACCTTCTTCTCCTTGGGAGACCCTCAGAATGGCAAGAGGAGAAGGAAGATCCCCAAGGTAATTCTAGGACCTTCTCTCTTTTGCTTGGCTTCTTCCAGGCAGGAATGTGACTGTGAGACATTCTCTTTAGTTTACAATGTGGAATCCCTGCAATATAGCTGTTGGCTTGGCAGTTAACTTGATTTGTATTTAACCCCCTTTCTGCCTGAAGGATAAGGCTCACAAACATCTCTGCAAGTTTTGAAGGAGGTTTTTTGTTCCATGTGAAGTATCGTGATTGTCAGGAGAGAGAAAATTCTACAAAAAAAAAAAAATTAATGTTTATGATAGAAACTGAAGTTTGTCAGAGGGGGAAAAAAAACCCAGTAAGTATTAAGAAAAAAAATACCCCCGTCATATTTCTTTCTTTACTTAATGGATAGGACAGTCAGAAATTGAAATTGTCTGTGTGTTGTGTTGCTGTTCCCTCCTGACAAATCCATTGTTGTTTGCTAGGTCCGATTCATGCATTGGCTGTTTCTAATTCAAGGGTGTAATTGTAGGTGAACAATGAAAATACTGACATTTGAGTGACAAAAGGAGTTGTCTGTAGTCATGAGCATTTTCTGGAGCAACTTTTCCTACTTCATGTTTGGATGCAGCGTGACTGTTTCAGTTTGATTTTCTTTCAGCTCTAACAGGAAGTGTACTCAGTCCAAATGAGGTTTGGCAGCAGTCTGTTGAGTGTTTCAAAAACACAGTTACAAAAACACAGTTTCTTGTCCCAATCTTTGCAGGGCAAGCAGAGGCTACCAGGGGCTGTCTGCAGTGATTTTTAAATTTTTTTTCCCCTAAACCCACAGTTTTCCTTTGGGGAAAAAGGGTTGTGTTTGTGTATCTTCTTTGTTTCCTGGTTGCCCAATCTGTGTTCATGTTTGCATACCTGAATTTTGAATGTCATCTCTGTATATCTCAGTCCTTTAGGAATGAGCCAAGGACTACCAAGGTCTATGTTTTTCTTTCCCAGTATGCCTAGGTATCTGTGCACATGCTTGAGCTCTGTCAGTGTGTTCACAGATACTTCTGTGTCAGCTGAAGAGAAGATTACAAACGTGTATTTGCCAAGCAGTGCCACAGGGCAGTTTTGCAGAGCAAGTTCAGAACTGAGATTCACTGCATCAGTGGCAAGATCTGCCTGAGACATGAGCTGGGTGGCTGGGTGGAGGCTGCACTTCCAAATCCTGCCTCTCCCTTAAATATTTGGGTTCAGAGTTCCCTGACCAAGTGTGTGATGGGCACGTCTTACCTTGATTTCTTGGGACATGTGTGCAGGGAACTCAGACTTTTTGGAATAAATCTTAATGCTGTGGCTGTGTCCTGCTGCTCCTGCCTGGGACTTTGACAAGGAGGCTTGGGGAAGCATGGCATGGTCTTTCTGCAACTCCACTCCCCTTCAGGGATGGACAGGGAAGCCCTGAATGAGCCACAAAGCCCAGCTATGCCCAACACTGCCCAACTGTCCTCTTTCCTGGTCAGCCAGCAGGCCAGGGATTAAAGGATTTTGAAAGAAAACCAGTAGCGTAAAGTACATCAGCATCATTGGCTCCCACCAATCTCTATTTCTTCAGGTTTCCTTGTATGTTATGTTTCCCCTGTGTTTGATCCAAAGGCTTTTCCAGCACATCCCACAACAGATGTTAAAGGCATGAAGACACTGAAATTTGCTGTTGTCCTCCAGACAGTTTTCTGCTTTCAAACCTGCAGACCAGGGGAGGTTGCCAAAGGACCCTCTGGTGCTCCCTGGAATATGGAGCACAGTGTGGAGAGGCCCAGGTGGACACTGTCACAGTCATACGACCACGTGGTGTGGAAGTGTGTTAAGGCCTAGGCTTTCGTTAGGGCTTGTTACCGTGGGCTCCTGCCACACCAGCATGGCAGTACTGCTGCTGGTCCAGAGGGCTCCTGCCACACCATTGCAGCGTGGGTGCCGGGTGCTGTGCGTGGTGATGCTGGTAATTGTCAGTTCTGGGCCATCAAGTGAAGAGTTTCAATATGGCCAGGACTGGGAAACAGCACTTCGAGTGAAATTCAAACTTACTTTCTTGCCTGGGGAGGAAAATAACCTTGTTTGTTTGTTTGTTTGTTTGTGTGTTTGCTGAGCAGCTTGTGTTGAAAATCAATGCCATTTATGAGGCACGAAGGGGAAAGAAACGTGTCAAGAGACTGTCGCAGTCTACAGAGAGCAATTCAGGGAAAGGTAAAGGAACTCTGAATCATGATACATCCAAGACTTTCTGAGGACTTGTCTTAGAGTTAAGGCTGGCTGAGTGATTTATGTGACATTTTCTGGCGCTTCTTGCCGTCCAGAGTGAGATTGATTTGGGACTTCCACCTTTTCTTTTGGGAAGATAAAGGCTGTTCCTCTGCCCAAAAGACTGTTATTAAAACTGAACTTTGTTTTGTTTTGTTTTCTTGCTTCCTTTTCATTCCATGGCTTTATGGGATAACCTTATAGGTCGCACCAAAAATGTCCCCCTTTTTTGATGTTTATTTCTGGAAGAGGGTGGAAGCTTCGGAGAGGAATGTTCTGTCTGAAGAGACTGATTTGTGGAGATCAAAATATTTTGCGGGAATGTGTCACTTTAGTGAACTGTCCAGTGGAGGATAGTAGATTTTGAAACAGTCCTGGTTCCTTCAGCATCCCAATAAACAAATAGCCTCTGTCGGGAGTCAAGGTTTCTGGACTTGACTGTAGGACCATCTCCATCATAGCAAGATTGAGACATTCATCCTCCCACTGCCAACTAACAACTTGCCAGGATTGTTCAGGCACTTCAGAGCCATTACTTTTAAACATCTTATCTCTGCATAACCTAAAATTACGTCTTTTCAACATAGTATTCTTCTCAAAACACCCTAATTTATAGCAAAGGTGACCACCAACATTATCTATTTCCCACAATTGTTACTGTTTATCCTATTTTATGTAAGATATACACCCACAGGATGGCTGAGTTTGTTTGTATGAACCTTAAGGGGAAGCAGCCCAGACTTATCTCTACATTATTTTTTTTATATCTATCTCTGAAGCATCTAAGGCATCATTGACAGAAACAGGCTATTGGACTATATAGATCTCGAGTCTGCTTTAGTCTGTCAGGTTTTTTGTTTGTTTGTTTGCTTGTTTTTTCCTCTTGTCCCACCAACTACTGCATGCTAATCAGTATTCTGCCTTGGTGTTGTGCTTATATAGACTTGGATAAAATGCTGCTCTGGCGTTTTATTCTTCATGCAACTCTTTTGGTTGTGCAAAATTGATTTTGTTGTTTGGGGGGTTTTGTTATGCCCTGAATGAACAGGAAGATACCATGGTTGGTAAGGTAAATGTCTGTGGGTGTGTGCCACCTTGAAAAGAACAAGATCCCTAGGATTTATACTGTCTTCACCTTGAAGTTATCCTACCTGGCTTTCTCATGACAGTGATAAAAAATTCACTGTTATAAATAGGCTTTATTTAGTTCATTTCCCCCTTTTTTTTTTCCCTAGTTACAGATGAAAACAGTGAATCAGACAGTGATACTGAAGAGAAGCTGAAAGGTAAGGCTGATGTGTGAAGAGACCAAATGGCTGCTGATAAACTCTGCTCTGAGACCCTGGGTCAGGATCTATCCCCTGTGTTCTGTTTTTTGGGGAGGAGCTTGTTTCCACTCAGGACACAGAGAGGAAACAAAGCTCTCAATACAGTCTATGAGCAGAGGACTGTTGGAAGTCCAAACAAAACATCTATTCCAGTTCCCATCAAAGTTCTTTGCACTGACTTTCCTAGGAGACGGCTTGGGCACTGTGGAAATGCAGTGAGGTTCTTCTGAGTACATGGTCACAAATGTGTGACCAGGCTGACAGAAGCAGTATGCTATGGGACAGGGTGTTCAGAAACCTCAACTACATGTTCACTAAAGGAGAAAAACACAAGCCAGGGTGGCTGTCTAGGAGAAAAGGATTACACTATATGATTTATTAAACTGGTAAAATTTATTAAACTGGTAATTAAACTGTTCTGCGTTGGCTGAGTTGGGATAAAGTGCTGCATTGCTTGCTTCGTTCCAGTAGAGCTGTATGGTATACTGGTCTCCACAATGTTCTTCAAGAACATTCTTGTGCTGGTGATCAGCCTTGTGACATGGTGGTGGTTTTACAATCTTTGGGGAATTTATATGGCAAATTCAAAGTCCTGTCGGAGGTAGAATGCAAGGTGGAAACTCCTTCAGGTCAGTTCCCAAGCTGAAAAGACAGGCATAAGCAGCAGTTCCCACTCTGTGACAATCACAGTGCGTTGTGCCTAGGAGTATTTGTCCTTAAGGCCCTTTCAGGTTTTTAGAACAGAAACTTTAGACTGAGTTCCCTCTTGTGAGCACAGCTTCCTACACAAGAACTACTGTAAGCTCTTGTTCTCCACTGTGTTGGGAAACCTTTTACCTACCCTTTGACAGGTTCTCAGGCTAGGCTGGAGACAGGGAATGGGGGTTTGCACCCAGATTGCACAGAAATTAACATTCACAACTGTCTTGAAGCTTGATGTTGTGAAATATGGTCCATGTTCAGATGTAACTGAGAAAGTCAGTGTAGATGTGGCCAAGAAGACTTAAACACTTGTCTGTTACTGGTCACCATAGCCAATCATGTGCGTAATCTTGTGTTTCTCTGTAACATCTGTGTAACTGCAGCTAGGAACTGCATGTAGAAGGGAAGATGGAGATCATGTGAAGTTACCTCAAATCTAACAGCACTGGGCTCTGAACAACATCCAAATCCATACCTGGATCTGAGTGACTGTGCAAGTCCACAGAAGTGTGAACAGGAGCTCTGGAACTTGCTGTTTACTCTAACTACACCTCTGGTTTGCTTTATGCCTAGTTGAACTTGTGACATAGGAAAGTGAGGTGATTTAGCAAGTCTCTTTTATCGGGACTTTCAATTTTCTGTGTTTTACTTAACAGACCAAACCCACCAGCCAGTTACCTCTCCTTAGCAGGTCACTGTACGGCACCTGAGACACAGTAAGTCACCAGGCAGCAGCTGCTGGACTGCATGTCAGAGCCGTAAGTGCTGGAAGGAGAAATGCCCAAAGACAGACTCTGCCATGATGATAGCAGTACAATCCTAGTATCTTTAGGAGGTTGCACAGCATATAAACAGTAAAGAGCTTGAGCAAGTGCTCAGCATTGCTGCGACATTGCTGCATTTGAAGTCCTTGGTAAAACAGAAACCACTTCTGAAAACTTTTGAAAAATTACAGCCTTAGAGCAAATAGCATAATAGGTGATGAGAGAAAGGCATCTAAGCCATCTTCCCAGGGCTTTAACTATCTTGGGATTGCAACACTCTCACTTAAAAAGCACCTCAAGTTTGCTTTAAATTATATTGTCTGGAATAGTCCATAAGTGGTACAGCTTTACCAGGCAAAAAGTCAAATGGCTGTCCTGAAGTATACACCATCTCTCAGGAAGCCTTGCTTCCCAAGCAGACATCTTATGTATTTGGAGTTCCTGCAGTATCTGTGGTGGTTGTTTCTGTCAAAACGTGGTGTTGCCTCCCATATTTGCAAAAAGCACAGTTAGGAGGATGTGCTGTAGTCTCTGCTTGTATTTAATTCTTTCTTTTGTAGTAGGGGTAAAGGAGACGTTATGGAGATTTAATTTGGGATGTGACTGTAAAACAAAGCAGGGGGGTGGTCTTTGGGAATCTCATCTGGTCTCTTCTCAGCAGGCAGCTTTTCATTACTTTCCATGCTGAAATGTTTATTGTCCCACAGCTCTTGTGTGTTGCAGTTACAGCTTGCTTGGCAGTTTTTCTTGTTTTCCCATTGTCCTGGGTGAACTTGTAGAAACATAGTCCTGAGCGATTAGTTTTAGGCACAGAAAGGAGTGGCATGAGCCAGGCTTTTTCATTTGCACCTCTTTTCACCTTTTTTTTTTGTCGTTGGCCTACAGCCCAGCCTGTGTTACTGAAGCTGGGAGTCCCCAGCGTTATTCAGCTAGTGGAGCTCTCGCCTGACCTAAGTGGTGGTCTTTAAAACCACAGGGATGACTACCCACAGCCTCCTCTGAACAAAGCTGATCAGTCACCTAACTGTACTGGCTTTGGAAGATGCTAGGATGAATGCCCAAACAGTGTCTGTTACACCATCTCCCATACGGATCTCAGTTTGGGTTGTCTTCAGCTATAAAAGCTATCCATGGAATCCTTCTGCTGCTCTTCAGGTTGATGGCACTCATGAGATTACCTCCCATCTCTGTCAATATTTACAGTGCATTTTCCAAATGTTTCCCACCTCTTACTCAGCCACTGACAAAGTAAATGCAGTGAGGTGGTTTCAAGTTCATCCGCAAGACTCTGCAAAGCCCTGTTGGTGCTCTGTGCAGAGAGTTTGGCAGTGTCACAGTCTCTAATCTTTTTCATTGCAGCTCACAGCCAGCGCCTGGTGTATGTGAAATCCCGCCTGAAGCAAACCCCGCGGTACCAAACCTTGGAACGGGACTTGATTGAGTACCAGGAGAGGCAGCTCTTCGAGTACTTTGTGGTGGTGTCGTTGCACAAGAAGCAGGCCGGGGCTGCCTACGTGCCGGAGGTCACACAGCAGTTCCCGCTGAAGGTGGGGTGCTGGGGGGGCTGGCTGAGCAGCCCTGGGCTGCGTGGGGCGCTTGCGCGGCGGGGGAAGCCGCAGCTCAAGCAGGGTGCTCTTTGGCTGTAGCAGTGCTCAGTTAGACTGAAGATGCAGGGGCTGCTGTCACCCCTCCAAGAACTGTCATGGCATTCACCACTGTTGAAAGAACAGCTGATTTAGCTCTTTTGCTGCCCTTGGCTATGGCTTCTATGTAGCTATTCCCTCTCTCTCCCTTTTCTCTTTAAAGAAAACTGACACTTGGGAGAAGACATTTGTTCTTAAAGGGAAGGTGCAGCTTTCACTAATAGTTTAGCTCAAAACAGGGAATGAGGAATAGGAGAAACACAGAGCGAGCGTGGCGGCATGTTTGTAAGTGGGGTTTACAGAGCGCCCCTCCAACTTCAGTTTTCTTGCTGCTTGCTGGAAGATGTATCCCAGATTAGAGGCACAATAGAACAGGGGCAGGTGCTGCAGATGCAGGGCTTGGTGGAGTTAAGGGCACAGAGTTACTTTAAGATATCTAAAGATAGGTGAGCGAGAATCACAGAAATTTTAATATCTTCCAGGCAGAAGCTTAGCCTCTGTCATCACCTCTTCATTTGTCACAGGAAAAATATTTGAAGTCATTCCATCCCCACATGACTAATTGGAAACATTCCTTCTCTCTGTTCTGCTAGCTTGAGCGCTCGTTCAAATTCATGCGCGAGGCAGAAGATCAGTTGAAAGCTATTCCCCAGTTTTGCTTCCCTGATGCAAAGGACTGGGCCCCCATCCATCAGTTTGCCAGGTCAGTACCGTACTTCGTATCCTGATTCACGAGAAACAGATTTGTATAGCAAGCTAATTAAATATGAGAGCTGCTATTGTAGAAAACTGGGCAGAGCCCTGAGAGGCGTGTATTGAAAATGCAAAAATATTGTGGGTTTGTTTGGTTCGTATATCAGAGTGTTGTGGTTTGAGGCTTGGAATGGGGGCGTGACCTTCCAGCAACTAGGAGGACCCCGGGTGGGGGTGAACCATTGTATTCCCTCCCCTTCCCACACACACTCTGATAAGAGGCAGGGAGTGGGTTCTAATTTCACTCCTGCCTTGGAGCTCGGAGAGGGAAGTTGTCCTTTCACTCCATGGGACCCTGGAACCATTTCTGAGGGGTTTGTATATGTTTTTTTTGTATTTTTCCCCTAATCTTTGTATATATTATTTTCCTTACCTCCCTTTTTTGTTTTCTGTTCCTTGTTAAACAATATACTTCATTTTTTTTTCCAAAGTGTCTCTGTCTCTCTCTCTCTCTCTCTCTCAGGGGGGGAGAGGTGAGTACATAGTTCTGTTCCGTGTGGGTCCTGCCCTGAACCCCTTTTTTTACACGGAACCAGGACACAGAGGCTTTTAGCATGTGTGATGAGTATCTTTTCAGTTTGGTTTCTCTTTCTGCAGTGAGACGTTCTCGTTTGTCCTGACGGGGGAAGATGGAAGCAGACGGTTTGGATACTGTAGGAGGCTGCTGGTAACTATCCCTGGATTTGTTCTTTTCCTAGAGATGCAGCCTTCTGTGGGGTTGGTGTTAATGGCACCCGTTCTGGAAAGTGCAAAGCTGCTGCTTCTCTTGCAGCGTGGAAAGGAAGAGCAGCAGCAGAGCAGCTGTGCTTTCTGCTGCTCTTCTAAGTGCCCAAATCCCTCTGTGAGTACCATCCTCTGCTCCAGGCATTGCTCTTTTACCTTGTCCTGACACCAGTGCTTAATGCTAGGACCATGGGCTAAGCTGAAGACAGGTTTGTCTCCCATAGGTTTAGATAGCTACTAAGCAGTTGTCTGAACCTGTGCTTGTCCTGTAGGCTCAGAGCTGTCTCTGTAGAGCAGTCTGCCCTGCCTTAGTCATTTGACTTAAGAAAGCAGGGATCATATTGTGCATGCGTCCATTTCTTCCCACTGATTCTAGTACACCAGGGTTCGAGCAAGACTTGAGCCACTGTCATCAGCAGCATACTGCCTGCCAGTTCCTGAGCCAGCCAGCAAGCTGCAGAACTGAGACCAGTCACTCTTAGCTTTGCAGTAGTTGTAACTCTTGACGTTTTCTTGGTATTTTTTGTGTGTGTATTTGTGTTTGTCTTGAAAGCCCAGTGGGAAAGGGAAGCGCCTCCCAGAAGTTTACTGCATTGTGAGTCGCCTTGGATGCTTCAATCTCTTCTCTAAGGTGAGGAGGGAGAGAGAGAACTTGTGCGGTAGGCCAAGAGGGACTTCAAAATGAAGAATGGGGATCAAGGAAGCCAATGGCTGAAGAAGGGGCCTGAAATTGTGCTGGCAAGGCAACCACATGCTAATTCCAAAACAAATAGGGTTAAAAGGAGAACTAGATTGTCAGCTGTTGCCTTCTTCCTTCAGCAGAACTTCCAGAACACAAGCACTGAGAGATTAAAAGGTGGAGCCCTGACTCCGAGGGTGGTGGGGAGTTTGCAAATTATAACTTTTCAGTGACCTCATTGGAGGCGAGTGTCTCTTACTGAAGGAAGTTAAGGGTCTTAAATTGAACCTTTTACCTTATTCCTTATGATTCAAGGCTCTGTGTCACTGCTGGGTTAAGGAAAGACCATGGATGCTGGTGCACTTCATTCCTGATTTTACCTCCACATGTATGTATGTTTTTTTTCTTCATGACTTTATTGCAGATCTTGGATGAGGTTGAGAAGAGACGGGGCATTTCCCCTGCCTTGGTGCAGCCTCTCATGAGAAGTGTCATGGAGGCACCTTTTCCAGCTTTGGGCCGGACGATTACAGTCAAAAACTTCTTGCCAGGCTCAGGAACAGAGGTAAAGACACAACTCCAGAGAGAGGGAGACTTAGGCCAGCAAACGGCGCAGGACTGATGACTGGAAGCATGGTCTGTGACACATCACTGGAGATCTTCAAGGACAGATTGTCTGGCAGCTGTGGGGTGCAGGAAGCTAAGGAGTAAAATAAGGGACCCAGAGGGGATGGCATGGAGACTTTTCAGTGGCCATCAAAAGGAAAACGTGGTAAAGACGAAGCTGAGGCTGTATTAGCTGTGAAATGGGGCATTGACTTTGAGGCCAAGTGGCACAGATTGCTGGACCTCATTCTGCATAGCATGTGACCTTGGATGTGCACAAGGCCCCCCACATTTATTTTCCTGAAGACAGGATTCACAGCATGTGCTCCAGCACCCTTAATGCAAAACACTGTTTGTGTGGGACAGTGCATGGCGTTCTGGTCAAAAAATACCCCAAACCACACCAGGGGAGTGTTGCAGCCTTTCAGGATGCATTTTCACAGCATGGAGGTGAGGGTACATGTTGCATCTCTCACAGTGTGGTGTGAAGACAATGGGAGGGTTTTAAAAGTGCAGAGCTTTTGGGGATAGTACTGAAGGACTGTGGCCGGGTGGAGGGCATCAAACTGAACATGATTTTGTTTGGCATGATACACCTTGAACACGAGAGAGAGGAAAGTGAGGGATAGAGCTTGTATCTGAGGACTTTCAGCATAGCACTACATGGTGACCTCAACCAATTTGAAAAGGGTCCAAACTAAATTAAATTACTGCAGAGCATGTGCATAGCTGGTTAAAAATCCACATACATTCCACATACATTGGAGAGTAGAGCCCCAGTGGTGTGTTGTCAGGCTGTGATAATGTTTTGACTATTTTCTTTCTAGGATTTTTATGTTCATTAATTATCTAGCTGAGGGTATAAACCCCACATTTGCACAGTAGATAGATGACAGCATCACGGTGGGTTGCAGGCACTTAAAAGCGTAAGGGATTAAAATTCAAAATGAGCTTGCTAAATTGAGGGTTTGGTCTGAAATTCAATATGGACAAGAGCAAAACGCTGGGAAGAAGAAATGAGTAGCATGATACAACATGGAAGTAACTGAGTGAGCAACAATACTTCAGAAAAGGATATGGTGGTACAGTGGGCCATAGAGTGGGCAGAAGTAAGAGTATGGTGTTTCTTAGACATGCTCCCACGTTGTGGAAGAAAGTGAAGGGTTGACTAATAGAAAAAGCAATCTTTTCTGCTTTCCAACATTGGCCGAAATTTATTTAGAATATAATTTAAAAAAAAAAAAAATGCAAGCACTAGGAAAAAGCCTCAGAAGAGCAGTTTCATTTATTGTCATATAGAAAATACAGGCAAAGCTTGAGAAAATTGTTTGCTTAATATAGAAAACAAAAGACAAAAGAGGACACGTAGCAATAACCTTCCAATATACAAGAAGTTTCCTACAGAAGGAAGGATGACCAATTGCTGAGTGTTTATTGAGAGTAAGACAACAAGCAGTTGAATTAATTTACCACTGAGATGTTTCAGCTGCAGGCTTGGTGTTGGTCAGGGTAGTTCAGAACTAGAGTAATTTTCTTGTGGGATTTACAGATCAGTGTTGGAGGCTTTCAAGAATAACTTAGATGAGCATCTGTCTAAGATCAGTAGTATGAAGTGCTAAGGAGTTGTGACAGGAGTTATTTAAGTGGATATGAACAAAGGAAAATGCCCACAGGTTGCTTTTTTTTGTAACTGTTCTAAAAAAATTTTAGTCAGCAGGTTAGGCATCCAGATTCTTGCAGCAAAAAAAAGAATACATCGCAGGCATAAAAATAAGAGTGCAAATTTGAAGGGCTCCATGCCAGTCTGCTGCTCGAATGCCAGACACACATGAAGCCACTCCTAGCTGCAATCAAACTAGTTTTCCTCCTTAGGAAGAGCTCCCAGTCCTCAGTCCAGTGGGAGGAATTTGTGGTTGGTGTCACACTGTGCCCATTGGACTGAACTCTGGATTGTCTTCTTCTGGAAGAAGGATTTGTGCGAGGTCTTTGGAAAGACTGTTTGAGGACTTAATGCTCTGCGGTGTTTGCGAGCACAGTCAGCAAGGCTTGTTAGCTGTGAAAATCACTGTTGGGTCTTTGGTTGCCACAGTATGGACAGCAAGAGCTAACCTGTGGTCTCTTTCTCTTCCAACAGGTCATTGAGCTGCGGCGGCCTCTTGACTCCAGGCTTGAGCATGTTGATTTTGAGTCCTTGTTCACATCCCTCAGCGTGCGGCACCTGAGCAGAGTCTTTGCCTCCCTGCTGCTGGAGAGGAGGGTGATCTTTATTGCAGACAAGCTCAGGTACCCGCTCGTGTGTCCTTGGGCAAAATGCTGCTGAGGGAGGGGGGCTGAGAGGACTGAAGCAACTGATGGTCTCTGCTTTGTTCTTTTTCTTCTTCTCTGCTCTTTTCCAGCTTCATATCTGGTGTGAGTAGGGTTGTACTTCCCAGGAGTGGGGAACTCAGGCTGTGCACCATGTTTTGCCTTTGCAGCTTGCAGAAAGCATGCTGCCTCACTTCCCCGAGGAGAACCAAAATTCCTTTTCCTCCAGACTGTTTCAGAGCAGATCCCCAGTGCTAGGGAAGCAAAACCTTTCCTTTTGCTGTATGATGCTGCAGTGTTTCCCACTGAGCTCTGCTGGAATTTCCAGGGATCAAGCTTTGGGCAGAGTTCACTTGTCCCTTCTGGGTCCCTGATGTCACAAAATCTTAGATCTTCAGCTTGTATTTTAATAGTGGTTTCTAAAGACTTTTTTCTTGTGGGGGATGAAAATAAAGGATGCGATGAAGGGGAATGAGACAGATGACTTCCCCCTTCTATTTTGAATCTGCTCAGTTTTTTTAAAAAAAAAATAAATTGTTTGCTCTCCTAAATTATGAAAATGGGCCCAAGTTTCTTTAAGATCTTGTGCAGCTGGTGGTTGGCAGCTCTCCAGCCCTTGAAGCACTTGAGGATTCAGGGAGGAGAGTTCACCAAGGATGGGGAAAGAAAAGCTGCCTGGATGAGTAATGACACTTAGGAGCATGCTCAGGTTTCAGGAGTGTACAGTGCCCCTGAGCTGTGTGTTTTCACAACTTCCAGGCAGCAGGCTGCAGCTCCGGGACTGAGCGCTGGGGCAAAGAACGGGGAGGCCCCTCCTGCGGGGAGGTGAAGGGAAGGATTCGTCGTGCAGGGACTCGGGGCGCCCTGCGGGCAGGGCTCGGGCAGCTGTCCGCAGGCACAGGAAGGCTGGAGAGAAGGAGGCTGTAGCATCCAGGCAGCACCGGCTGCTTGCAGGTTTTGGCAGCTGCCTTGGATCAGAGCGGGGAAGAATTGCCTCTTTATAATCTCTGATACATTATACATGTAGATATTCACTATTCTGGATACCAGATCCACACGTTTCATGCAGAATGTTCAGATTTGCATTGAAATGACAGAATTCATCCTAACACTGTATTTCTACGTAGCATATAAGATTTAGGTGATAATTTATGATGACAGGCTTTGTTTCAAAGGTTTTTCTCCTCTGTAGGACAAATTTTACATTGTGAGAAAATTTGTTAAGGGCACAGATCACACAGTAATCTCTACAGGAGGGCTGGGTGGTAGGAATAAATGGTAGGGAACTTCTTTGTGGTTTGTTGTTAGTTTGTTTGGTTGGTTTTGTTAAGGTGTCAATTTAGAATGAACCTTTATTTACCAGCTCTTTTCCTATCACGACTTTATATGACAGCACATCACCCTGTTTTCTGAGCATGGGGTGTGTTACAGAGTATCTCTAAGTCAAAGCACTTCCATGGGTTATGGTGTTTTGGTGTTTTTTTTTTTTTCCTATATCTTTTGCCAGTATATCCAGGGTTCTTAGGAATGAGTCCAGCTGCCCAGGCCTGTGCAACAGAATGGGAGAGAGCTTATAGAAACACAGTTTCTAGATTCTCTAAATAGACCATAAACGGCTTTCTTCTGAAGGAAAAGAAAATAAAGAAAAAAGAACAGAATTCCCATGTTTTAAAGACCCAGTGTCTGTTAGGCCACAGGGCTAAGGTTCAAATGAAGAATAACCCTCAAAATTAAGTAAACTATTGTATTTTCATCCAGGTCAGTGACCTGAGTGCACTGGATTGGTGAGCCTTTCATAAGGTAAACTGTGTCTTCTACTTGTTGGTGGCAATGCCATGTTTTGAAAGCTGATAGTATTGTAGGTACGGGATCTTCTGTCCAAATGAGATACTTTTTCTGGGAAAGGAACATACTGAACTCAATGAATATTAAGTAGTATTTACTTCTGGGGTGAAAATGTCAGTTTTGGAGGAAAGAAAAGAAACACATTCTGGCAGTAGCTTAAGAAAAGAAAAAAAAAAAACAACAAAACTATAAAAGCAGCTGTTGGAAACTGCTCAGAGGTTAGGAATGCTAGAAATAGTCCAGCTGAGATGGATTAACAGGGAGAGTGCAGGTGACATGGTGAAAGATGCATGATAAATTACACTTATCCACCTTTGCAGTTCTTCACATGGGCACTATCAATAACTATCTGTACAGGTGTGTAAAGGTGTGTCTGGGTGTGAATGACAGAGAAAATGATGTATGCAATTTATTTGCATCTTTTAATTGCTATAAAGTCAGTCTGTGGGAAAAGAAAGCTGAAAGGTGTCTTGCCAAGTACTGTGTGAACTGTGAAATGTTTTCATGTTGAGCCAAAAAATGCATCTAACAAGTGTACAACAAGTGAAATACTTGATCTTTTCCATCTTTAGAATGAGCACAGTGTTTTTCAAAAACCTGTCAATCCAAAGCCTGGCAGCGGAAAAGGAAAGAATTTGGTTTATTAGTTTCTGGGAGGGTTGGTTCCTCCCATCGCTATGGAAACTGGAGTATACACTGCCTCGCAACCCAGGGAAATGACTTTGTTAAAACTATGTTGGTCTGTGCAGCCTTCCCTAGCTCTTGTTCAGTCCTGCACTATAAACTTTAGTCCTGGGGTGGTGGAGGCCATGGCACAGGTTAGGCACTGCAACACAAGAGCTGCTTTTGTTTCCAAGTGATGCTGCCTGGCATGCAGTTCAAGGCACTGCAGACCAACCTTTTAGAAGGCATCTTCCAGATAAAATGGCCTGATTTCACAAGATACCTAGAGCTGGACTGTTTTTACTGACCTGAGCAGGAGCTGTGTTTGATTCAGAGTGCTTTTTAAATAAATAAGCTTTTTAAAGGCTTAAAATCAAGGCACCCTTTTTCCAGATCACCACAAAAGCCTGTTGTGGATCTGACCAACTTGAGCAATTGCCTCTGTCCCTGCCAGAAACCACAGCTGTGTCAACAACACAAAGTGGTCATTGTTATCAAAGGCAGATCTGAAAGAATAGGGTAGACACTTTAAATGTGGTCATCCCCAGTAAGAGGTCATTAATCCAAAAGAAGCCTTTTCCATGTGCTCCAGAAACAAATCTGGCACTGCGAATCCCAGCCTCCCAGGTTGCTCCTTTTTGTATTGTGAGTAGGGATAAGAAGAAACCCAGGGATGAAGTTTGGATGTCAGATAATAGCAGCTTCTTCGGAGTGTAACGCTCGCTTCTTCAGCTGCAGTAACCTGCCACGTCGGTGGGAGGCAGTGACGGTCCCTGCGGCCGGTGGAACTTGGCGTCCTCCTGGTGGGATTTGCAGCAGTGCTGCTCAAAGCCACGGGGCAACCTTTGGGAGCTCCTGCGCCTGTTAAACGTTGTCAACCAGATCTGCGATCCGTCAGAGCTAAAGCCAGATGTGACAGCGTCAGAAATCTGAAGGTGTTTGAAAAATGAATGCTACTGTAGCAGAGCTTATAAAAAAAAAAAAGAAAAAAGGAACAACACACAATCAAGCCATCTTAAATTGCCAAATGCCAGCATATTTTCAGCAGTTTGGTTAGTGCAGGGAGCAAAGGGCTTCCTGGCATTAAACTCCAAAAGGCTGATTGATTCAATAGTGGGTTTTAGAAATCATGAGGTATCCTAAACCCAAAGAGGGACTCAGCTTGAGGAGCTTTTTAGGATAGGTGCTTTCCTTTGGAGCAGAAAGATGGAAACCCTGCAGTCAGTCTAAAGTTTAGGAGGAAAGCAACCAAGCTGAGCAACCACTGTCCTTCCTTAGAAGCTGCTGTAAGCTGTCAGGGTGTCTTTGTGGAGCCAGTCAAGCTAGTCTTGGAGCAAGTTTTCCCAGGAGAGGAAGAGTTGCTATGTAGTTGCAGCTGTTGTATTCAGATTCTTTATCGACCACCTGTGTTCAAGGTGGCTACCAAGAAGCAGCAGCTTCATAAGGTGCTGTGTGGTAGGATTTTGCATAGACTACTTTGTGGTATGAAGGCTTGTTGTTCAAGCAAGCAAATGTCACAAATTGCTGCAGTATTATTTCTCTGACCAAGGCAGCACTTGGCCAGAGAGTTCTGTTTGTCAGTCTATAGCTCCTGTGCAAGTGACATTGGCCATAGAGCTCAATCATGTTCCCTACAGGAGGCTGAATGAACCCATGAAAATGTGCTCAGGATCTTGAAAGGGTACTTAAAAGACCTACAGTATTTTAAGGATTACTGTTGAAACCAGAAGCCTTAAAATGTGCTGTCTGTGTCCTATTTGAGCACTTGGTATTGAACTTGTGTGACCTGAGGGTAGTGCATGGCACTCCCTAGACCATGCTGCAATCACATTGGGTAGATTTCTTCATTCCTGGTGGCATCTGGAGTGTACCAAGCAAAACACAGCATCCTGGGTCAGTATTATTCCAATGGCGGCCATTGTCGTCTTGGTTATGGTGGGTGCTGCCTGGGATATTTGGGATTTTGCTAGGGACCTTGACTCTAAGTACCCAAAGGCACTGGCTCCCTGTCTGGTATAGGAGGCCTCAAAGGGCTGGCCAATGCTGATGTAATTGGTGCTTTGAAAGCACATTAAACTGTTCTGGTTGTGTTCTGTGCATCAACTGTGGTTGATCCTGTGCACATCTCATAGAAAGAGGCATCCAGCTTGACCAGTGCCTGGAACTTCAGTGGCCATGGCATGGTTCTGCATGGATGAGTACCTGCTGCATTACAGCTGTGGTGCGGTTTGGGCAGTCCTCCCATGACTGCTGGCTGAGGAGCACAGGGTCACACAGACAGCATAAAAGGAAATTATTGTACTGGATTCTTTTGCAAGGCTCAGTAGCTGTGGTGTGAACCAGCAGTCCCTTAGTGCTTGTTTCAGGGCCATATGCAAGAGAAGGGAGCTTAGGCTTGAGTCATTCCAAAGGACTGAGGTTCTGCTGGGCTCCTGGCAAACTGCAAATCCCTGAGACTATCTGCAGAGCAAGCCTGACTGAATTGCCTGTGGTAGAGATGCGTCAGTGTTGCCTCCCCTGTGAGAAGCGTTTCAGAGCAGAGATCATCAGGATTCATTCCGGAGGTGATGAGGCATTCCCAGATGGAAGGGTGGAAGGGGAAGCTATCCTTACTTCCCACTGCTTGGTGCACGCAATTTCAGACTTGCATAGCTCGTTGTAAGTCACAGTCACAGTCTGTGACTTCCACTAACTGGACTTCAGCCATCTTTCCTCCCACTTAATCTCTCAACGTACCGTGTGTACTCACTGGGACTTGAGAGCAGGGGTGAGGGTGGAACAAGCCACCACAAATATAGTAGGAGACAGCATGCTGTAATATCTCACCGTGCCATAAATAACCATGTACTTCAGCTGCTCACTGTTCCTCTGTGGAGCTACCTGGAATGACAGAGATCTTTTCTATTGGTTTTCAAGTGCTGCCTGTAAAGTCAGCTCCCACCTTTAGGCAGGAAAGTTGTATGTGCCCTCAGTATCGAGGATTTGTGACAAAGGTGAAACTTCTAACACTTCCACATTCAACCTCTCCTCAAAGAAGAGGAAGTCCCATGGTGGTGGGCCAAGAGTAATGTCACAGTGCTGCGGACAAGTGCTGGAAGGAGGTGTCCTTTCAGCTGTTATTTCTGGGGCTATTGTCAGTCAGAAATTGTAGAGGGGACAATCTGCTCTGCAGTAATGGAGGGGAAGAGAAGCCCCTTCTTTTGCCTCTTCTAACGTGGCTGACATGCATGTATGTACAAGTAGCTCAGCCTTGAAGGAGGCAGTTTTTAAAGGATCTCATTAACTTGGAGCACACTTCTAAGATGGTACTTCGACTTTTGTTGCAGTTCCTTTCAAGATTAGCTTGTATGAAAAATACAAGAAAAATAATCTCCTCTGATACTGTTCCCACATTTTCTCCTGGTTGGGTTGTTTTCTTTTTTTTTTTGGTGAATGTTTCTGTTTGTTACTAGCTCTGTGGTTTTTTATTATTTGAATTTTGTTTCTTTCAAGTTCATTATCTACCTTTCCTGTGTGGTAGACACAGCAAGACGTGGGCTTGCTGGCGAGGGCAGGCACAGCTTGAGAGCAGTGACAGAGGGGCAGGCAGCAGGAGTGAATGTGGAGAAGGAGCAGGATACTGCAAGACCTTCCTAAACAAGGATGTGGAACGGAGGGTTTTTTTCCCGTCTAAAGGCTTGAAGCTGTCGGTCTGTGACACAGCCTTTGAGGGTCCTCTGCTTTTATAGAGTATCCCCTTAGGAAAAGACAAGCCTTTGGGGACAGTAAACTGTCCCCATCTTGCGAAGAGACTTTCTCTGCCACACATGCCAGGCATCCCTTCCAGGCTCTACCTGTTGCAGTCCTAGATAAAGTTCTCACATTAAGCACATTCCAGCCTCTCCCCTGGGATTTACTTGTCTCCAGATGCATCATATGTTTAATCATGTGTGCTGCCTAATTACTTCATATGGCCACACTGATGTCCCAGCACCAACAATAGTGTTCTGCTAAACTGAGCTGATCTGATGAAAGCCAGCTGGCTGTACCCCAGCCACGCCACTCTGCTCAGCATGTGTCAGCCTTACTGCAGCACAGCGATCAAGTCCACCAAACTTCGCTGGAGAGAGGGGGGCAGGGAAGCAGGCTTTACTGTGCAGTGGGAGCTCTAGTCCACACCCATCAAACACCTTCCCTCTGAAGTCAGCAACAAACTGCCAGATCCGGGTTGCTGAGTGTAGATTCCCCTGTGGAGTTTAACAGAAGCCAGCTGGGTGTCCTTCCTTGGCGACGTGACTCTTCCCGGCCGCACCAGCCCCCCTCCCCTCCTCCAGCCTTTTGAGAGCTGGATGCTAGTAAAACAAAATGACGTTATATACAGGGCTTATAGTGGCGAGCCTCCCTCCCGATGCATACAAATGCTTCCAGACCCAGAATGGATGAGTAATGGGTGCCCTGCAGCGAGCTCTGCTGTGGCTGACTGCAGACCCTGCCTCTCTCCTGCCAGAAAACCGATGGGGTTTCTGGACAGACCCTCTTGGAAGCTGTCAGCAAAGGCGCTTGCAGCCGAGCTGCTGGTGGCATGTGAAGGAGGAAGAAGGAAGGCTGCGGTCCCGTGACCCACGGGCAGCTTCCTACAGAGGCTGGCCATGTGCTCCCCTCCTGGGATTTCACTCTGCTGTGGTTCTGAGTATCCTTGCCAGGCTTCACAGGCTGTGGGGTGCCCCAATAGCCTCCAGCTGGAGAACACTGCCTTCCTCCTTCCCCCGTGCTCTGGCATGGCTGCTAGAAGCTGTCAGCATGATTGAGACCAATAGAAAAGCATGGCATTGGCTCCTGCCTGAGGGTTGCCCAAAGGCAAAGCATATATGCTGCAGATGTAGCAAGCCAAGGGGCAGAGGTGGACCGTGGCTGGAATAGCCTGCAGGGACACCTGGGGACCTTGTGGCTGTAGGTTGTGCCCAGTGCTTGGCCAGGGACTCCAAACAGGCCATCCAGCTGCACTGACAAGGCCAAGAGTATGGCCAGCAAGTAAGTGGGCCATGGCGCAGCCCAACAGATAGCTGTTGTAGTGGTGGAGCCTTCTTCTGCACCACATGAGTGTGTGCTGCCCGTGCTGGACAGTATAGCCCCTGTGCAGTCAGACCCGCAGCTTTCCCATGGGAACAGCCACAGAGGCATGCTGTGGGAGAACAAACTCATTTCTCTAGCAAAAGGCAGTGCATGGAAGACCTCACTTCTGTCTGATACTTCCCATCAGGGCACTGGAGTAGCAGGTGCTGGATTCAGTGGGACCTGTCTCTTGTCACTTGCTCGTGGGCCAGGATCATCCTTTATAACCTGGGCTGCTACCTCAAGTCGTTGATCCTGAAGTTGAGAAACAGGGTTAGAAGTCTGGAAAGCCCCTAGTCATTACAGAAATCAGTCAGGGGGCCACTGAAAGAGCCCTGATCTCTAAGAAGCCCCACTCATCTCCTGACTGACCAGCCATTGCCCTTGATTGTGTTTTATCTTCCAGCACTCTCTCCAAGTGTTGCCACGCCACAGTGGCCCTGCTGTACCCCTTCACCTGGCAGCACACCTACATCCCCGTGCTGCCGCCTTCCATGATCGACATCGTGTGCTCGCCCAC